CGTGTGTGCGTGTGCACGTACACGTGCGTGCATGCGTGCGTGTGTGCGTGCGTGCGTGCGTGTGCACGTACACGTGCGTGTGTGTGCACGTACACGTGCGTGCGTGCGACCGCGCGTGTGTGCGTTTGCGTGGGTGTGTGTGTACACGGGTGTGTGGGCATGTGTGGGTGTGAGCGCGTGCATAGGTTCCTGTGTCTGTGCGTTTACGTGTGCATGTTCCCATGTATGTGATTGTGCGTGTGCGCGTACCTATGATTGTCATTGTGCAAATGAGTCTTTGTGTCTGTTCGCGAACGTGGGTATATACAGTTAGGAATAGTATTACTATATCAATCACGCGGTCTGGTATTGTCAACATCATATTTCGATTATGCTAATTATTCTAATATTTATACCAGATCCAGATGAACCGTGATATACCTACGGTAGGGCCTATATTCACATTATACGCACACCCGTTATTCACCTAATGATTGTGAGGACAGTCATGTTTGAAATCCTGCTACGTTCTAGTAATCTGTAACAACTATCTCGTTGTGAGGCCATGTCCGGCGCTTTCTTAATAATTATTTTAAATTTAAATTTAAATTTAAATTCTAGATTATCGCCTAGTCGCGTAGCGTAGTGAGTAGACCACTATTAAATTCATATTGCAAACATTCTAGCAAGTAGCAGAGCAACCCTAGCTACTGCATATAAATCACTAATCACGCTTTGCTAAACGGGACTTACGTAGTTGTAAAATACTTCATGAGAGCGTATTGAAGAGAGCTGGAGAGCGGGAGCAAGAGTGAGAGAGAGTGTGAAAGATTTTCATCGTTATGTTGAGCTGTTATCGTTGTTAGCTACATACAGGCATCGTATTGTTGTAATAAGCTAACGACGTCCGTTCAAACTGCCGCTGTGTGCGTGATGATCGCAGTCGCGTCGGGTGTTCGTCCCTGTCACCGTTAACGCCAACGCTTCGTCTTCACAGATTATGACGACAGTAAGATAGTTGACGGCACCGTGGTGGTTGCCGGGGAGGTCGGATGGCAGGTAAGCAGTAGCAACGTGCATGTAGCGAACGATGGTGGAAAGCCGGTAAAACCAGAGAGCCTCTGTTAAAATGCGCACATGTTAATAGTAATTGTCGTGCGTAATAACAGAAAATTTTCATAACCGGTATTGAAAAAATGCTAGACCGGCTTTATTTGGGACATAGATAGAAGAAATTGATAGACGTGCACTCGCGCACGCACACGCACGCGCACGCGCACGCGCACGCACACGCACACGCACACGCACACGCGCACGCGCACACGCGCACACACACACACACACACCACAGTTACTCACACACACTAACTCACACGCACGCACGCACGTACGCACGTAATCACGCACGAGTGCACGCAAGCACGCACGAACTCACGCAAGCACGCACGACCGCACGCACGCACGCACGCACACACCAATCGTTTGCAATCGCACACCGAGTTTGAGCATTGTTCTACTCGCGACTGATTATGTCCCGTGTATCATCGTCCACCCTGACAATGATGCAGGTCTGGAACCAAGTAACTTTACGACAATGACGACGTCTGTCGCCACTTCGTGTTTACGTTACGTTGTGTTTCCAGGTAATCCTGTACAGATCAGGCTCATTCACCTGTGGTGGCAGTCTGATCAGCAACAGACATGTACTGACTGCCGCTCACTGTGTGCATCCGTAAGTGCGTCGAGACACCGTTAACAATAAGTATTCGTCGCAATAAACGTTACCTCGTACACAAGCTGTAGCGTTACCATATAAAATAAGATAAATATTCAAAAGCATGTGGCGTAGCTTTACATGATTACAAGGAGAGACGTAATTTGTTCTGATATGTTTCGTAAACTATAGTGTACGCGCGTACGTTCGTGCGTGAGAGCAGTCGACGGAGCACATAAAAATTTCGTCATTTAGGCATAATATTAAACTCGTGAAAAGATACTATAGATAAATTAACCACACGACTTATTTCAATTTCTATTGGTTTACAGATACCAGAATAACCCGGAATATTTCTCCGTTCGCATGGGAACACTGGAGCAGAGCAGTGGCGGAATAACGAGAAAAGTAAGTAAACGTACGTGCTACTTGGGTAGATCAGTTACGTGTTAGAGTTAGGGTTAGGGTTAGGGATAGGGGATATTCATTTTACATTGTTGCTTCGTGGAAGTCGAGTGAATGGAGTGCGCTGATTGGCTGTGGTCCAGAAATCAAGCGGGAAAAATTCGCGGCCGGGCAGGTGTACGCACGCGTGTGCGGACGGGCAGGTGTACGTACGCGCGTGCGGCAGGGCAGGTGTACCTGTATGTCGAGACGAATCTTCAAGCGGAGTATCTTTTACTCTAGGCAAATCGAATCCTGAGGCACGAGACATACAGCTCCAGCGCCATCTACGATGATGTTGCGGTCATCGAGCTTGATAAGCCAGTAGTGTTCACTAGCAACGTTCATCCCATCGCCTTGGCTAGCAACGATGACGAGAAGTACGTAGACTGGCAGGCTACTACATCTGGATTCGGACGCATTAGCGGGAGTAAGTTTAGACTTGCTATTTCTTTTTTCTCTTGCGCGTGTGCTTTCATTCTACTCCATTGGAACCAAGTAACTTTACGACAATGACGACGTCTGTCGCCACTTCGTGTTTACGTTACGTTGTGTTTCCAGGTAATCCTGTACAGATCAGGCTCATTCACCTGTGGTGGCAGTCTGATCAGCTACAGACATGTACTGACTGCCGCTCACTGTGTGCATCCGTAAGTGCGTCGAGACACCGTTAACAATAAGTATTCGTTGCAATAAACGTTACCTCGTTCACAAGCTGTAGCGTTACCATATAAAATAAGATAAATATTCAAAAGCATGTGGCGTAGCTTTACATGATTACAAAGAGAGACGTAATTTGTTCTGATATGTTTCGTAAACTATAGTGTACGCGCGTACGTTCGTGCGTGAGAGCAGTCGACGGAGCTCATAAAAATTTCGTCATTTAGGCATAATATAAAACTCGTGAAAAGATACTATAGATAAATTAACCTCGCGACTTATTTCAATTTCTATTGGTTTACAGATACCAGAATAACCCGGAATATTTCTCCGTTCGCATGGGAACACTGGAGCAGAGCAGTGGCGGAATAACGAGAAAGGTAAGTAAACGTACGTGCTACTTGGGTAGATGTGTGCGCGTGACTCTCTGTATGCGTAGAATACGCATGTGTGCGTGCGGCCGGGCAGGTGTACGTACGCGCGTGCGGACAGGCAGGTGGACCTACGCGCGTGCGGCCGGGCAGGTGGACCTACGCGCGTGCGGCCATTTTTTTTCCCACTTGAGTTCCGGACCCACCATAGATAGCGTTTTGTAATATATGGTTCGTATATATATGGTTGGATTATAGTTCGTGTTAGGGTTCGGTTACGTGTTAGAGTTAGGGTTAGGGTTAGGGATAGGGGATATTTATTTTACATTGTTGCTTCGAGGAAGTCGAGTGAATGGAGTGCGCTGATTGGCTGTGGTCCGGAACTCAAGCGGGAAAAAAAATTCGCGGCCGGGCAGGTGTACGCACGCGCGTGCGGACGGGCAGGTGTACGTACGCGCGTGCGGCCGGGCAGGTGTACCTGTATGTCGAGACGAATCTTCAAGTGGTGTATCTTTTACTCTAGGCAAATCGAATCCTGAGGCACGAGACATACAGCTCCAGCGCCATCTACGATGATGTTGCGGTCATCGAGCTTGATGAGCCAGTAGAGTTCACCAGCAACGTTCATCCCATCGCCTTGGCTAGCAACGATGACGAGAAGTACGTGGACTGGGAGGCTACTACATCTGGATTCGGACGCATTAGCGGGTGTAAGTTTAGACTAGCTATTTCTCTTGCGCGTGTGCTCTCATTCTACTACTCCACCGCCTCTCTCTCTCTCTCTCTCTCTCTCTCTCTCTCTCTCTCTCTCTCTCTTTCGCTCTCTCTCTCTCTCGCTCTCTCTCTTTCTCTCTCTCTCTGGTGAGCACAACAGAGAATGCAAGGAAATTCACATATTTTCTTTTGCATTCCGGTTCGAGCTCGTGTTTTATTTATATTTGAGACCAGATTGTTGCTATATGTATGTATTAGGTAAACTGATTGATGCGCTGACACCATGAAGCTCCTAGAGGATATTTCTTGCATGTTACAGATGGACCCACATCCTCCGTCCTCTTGAAGGCTGATCAAGTGATCGTCTCTGGTGAGGCCTGCCAAGCCTATTACGGATCCTTTGTCCAGCCAGCGGGAATGATCTGCTCCGGACAGGGAAAGCAGACAGTATGCAGTGTAAGTGACCATCTAGTCTGAGTGAGCGAGTCTGAGAGACCGGGTGACCATCGAGTTGTGATGGATAATTCTCTCGATCCAGCTTGAATGAGAACGCGATGCAACCGGGCTTTTCATGGCTCTTGCGATTGAATTTCATACAACACTCCTAATTAATTGTGTCACTACGCCGATGCAAGCACCGGAAACTCAGCAAGCATCTCCTCGACCTAGCGTTCACTTGTCCTTCAACTCTCTTGCAGGGTGACAGCGGCGGCCCACTGTGGGTGATGCAGAACTATGAGCCAGCCCTGGTAGGAGTCACATCCTGGTCGGTCAATGGCTGCCAGATTGCCGGCTATCCTGACGGATTCGCCCGCGTCACCTACTACTACCCATGGATCATGAAGGCCGTCGCCACGCTGTCCTAAGTCCTAATAGGTTAACACGTCGTCGCGTCTGACGTCATCGGCGCTTCGTGTCTAGCAATTATGACGGTGACCCCACCGTCTCGGTATCATGCCTGTATCGGATTCTGATTCAATGAAGCAATGAAGCAATGATTAAAATACCCTGGTTTATATCCATATACATTAATGTGATTATGGTAGTCGATGTTTTTGGAATTAATGCGAATATGACATAAAAATAAATCCGCTTTTCTGTGCAATTCTGGTTCGTTCAACTTGTTGTCTACTTTGTATAAAAACCCATTCAGATTGTTGACATGTCAGAAATCAGATTGTTGACAAAAGCAGAACAGTCAAGAAGAAAAAGAGTGGAAACATGTAAGACTTCGTCGGTTCACAGTCAGTTTACACGATCGCACAAATGTATTTATAAATACGTGACAACAACATGAACACAACACTTCACCACCATTTGCCAGAAGCCGCCGAAAGGTCCTTGTCCTTGTCTAGTGCATAGTCTACTGCAGTGTTTTTCAACCTTATTTGAGCCAAGGCACATTTTTTCATTGAAAAAATCACGAGGCACACCACCAACAGAAAATGTTAAAAAATGAAACTCTGTGGCCTATATTCACAATATAAAGTCGTTCTCATCAAAGTGTCTTGAATAGGAATCAAATAAACACAAAGAAAAAGTATTTTATAATAAAATAAAATATTTCTATTCACTCAGTGTGAAACCTGGGCCTGTTTGGATGAACACAGATTTGATATCCTGGCAGGAATCGAAGAAAGACACAATTAATTTTTTTTTCAATTTTTTTTTCAATTTTTTTCCCAATTTTTCCCCACGGCACACCAGACAATATCTCACGGCACACTTGTGTGCCGCGGCACAGTGGTTGAAAAACACTGGTCTACTGTAAGCGCTTGAATTCCCAGCAGTCCGTAGTTGTATAGCCCGTGAAGTGGATGGGGTAGCATTAGACTGGTACCCGTCTCTTCTCACAAGCTCGATATAGCCCTATATCGAGCTTGTGAGAAGGGACGGGTACCAGTCTAGGGTAGCATTAGAGCCAAACTCCACGACAGATGGCGCTCTCGCTCTCGCTCAATTTCTGTATCCTGAGTGTACGAAGGGGCACTGCATGCAGTTTGCATGCATTAACCTCTGCTCTGTATTGTCTCCTACATGAACGAAACAATCAACGTGGTACTTTACACAGTGAAGCATCTGCTTAAAAATACACATGTCAGTGCAAAACTCTTAATACTTGAAAAAACAAGGGTTCATTGTGAGAGGTTACTCTCAGATTTTATTATTTTGAAAACAAAACACCAACTTTAATCTCAACTAATTTCACCAGACATTTGCAGGAAAAATATAATGTCTAAATATGCACATACTTTAGACTGAATAACGTTTACACATTTGTAAAAACACAAGACATTTCAATCCCTCATCCAGTTATAAAATCCTAATGACATTAGGAGAAATTTAGTTCTGGCAAGCAACTGGCAACTACTTGCCTAGACTGCCAGCGCCTTCCTCATTCCAAACCCTGCCAAAAGAAGGCAGCAATGCAGAGCCACTAGCTGTACTGTGATCAAACCTGGCTCCCACCCTGTTAGGATTCAGTCTCTCCTTCTTAACCCTTGTCACCGACGTACGATATAAATTCATACTTTGTTATCATTTTATATTCTACACAATCATTTTCATTTTACTACGCTTATATATGACTATTTTTAGCAAAACATTAAAATAAAATTTACATGATATCTCCGAACAATTAGTATTATTATCAGGAGTAGATAATAGGGAACTATAGGAATAATTCCCTATTATCTACTCCTGTTATTATCAATGTTGTTAACCTTAACATACACAATAAATATGCATACAATAAAATGAATCGAAAATATATAAACCCACATTACTTACATACAGAGAAACCATTAGAAATCTGCTAAAAACGGAATAATGGGTTAATATGCTAACTAGCTAGAACCAGATTGAAGTGTAATGTCTATTGAATTTGCATTATGAAATTCCTAAAGTTTCACGTAGAGACGACCCAGTTACAGTGAAAAGCTATAATAATCGCCCGTAAGGAGCATACACACTCACAATGCTGCTCGTAGTCAGCTAGGCTGGGACCCGCCTGCACTGCTGCTGCTGCTGCTGCATGCTGCCGTGCCCACAGTCTTCGAACCATCTTGCTGCCCCGGTGGCAAGTCTCCAGAATGTACGTTTCCTTCACTCTCGTGGAAACGCTTCGTGATAACATAATTGCAACTTGAGTATGACTAATTTAAATGTGGCCTACAACAGTAGCCTTCGGCAAATTTTTAGCCGCGTACGTTACACTACTTCGTCTCGGGAAAAGCTCTTCCTTAATTTTTTTTGGGGTAAAATTCGGCACTAAAGTGCACTAATTTGCATTATGCACGCAGGGTAAATGCCTCGTGAACGTCTAGAAAGCAGTAGACGCGAGATTTGTCTTGTCGTGTAAGTGTGCCATTCCGTCAAGTGGCATAGCCATGGCGACCGGTCGGTCATTTGTGTTTGAAACGTTGAAACGGGATCCGATTACATGCTGGAAATTCTCGAAAACATTCTGCCCATAGATATCCCATAACATGTGTTATATGATATCTATGATTCTGCCAAATGTTTCGAGTGAAGATTGGTCTTTGAATCTGTAGTGATTTCGAATGAATAAATAGTATTTCGTATATGCGCCGAAAGTCTCTATAAGTAGGCCTATTTTTACTAAATTTCTGTTCGATGCTTATTCAAGCCTGCTGCCAATAGACGCCCTCTACTGCTGCACAATACCATAAATTGTTTAAACCAAACATTATTTGTTTTCAGCGAGATTCAGCACTGCAGTCTGCAGTAGGCATGAACAGACAAGTGAAAATGAAAGGGATTCATTACTCTAGGTTCTTTAGATATGGTTAGTTAAAATAGGTCAAACATACGCTACACAAAAAGTTTTATACGTAGTTCAATATTCGTTAGAAATATTTTTTTTAATGTTTCAAAACTGACGGCTATACCATCACAGACTAACAGATACACGGATACACTAACGGATACACAGACTGGACGCAACGCCAAAATAGTGTTATGGAATTGAATGGTGGCGCCGCCTAGCGAATGTAGCGGTACACTAAAAATCTGGCTGTGGTGACACACCGTAGATGTGTAACGTTGTAACATTAAAACGTCTCTATCGTTAATTATAA